TGAGGATAGAGCGAAGAGTAAGCCCTGAGAACAGCAGGGTGTGGACCACATCCCCTGCCTCCCCTAAAATAATATGTTGTAAGTGAAAAATTCATATTAGATATTTTATAATAGGGTTTATATTCTATCCAGGTATGTTCTTTGTTTCTTTTTTATAAGGCATTACACCAGCAGTGTGAGGTGATCTAGGACCACTCCCTTGGTGGCTTGGGAATAAAGCACAGTGTAGTTTTCTGAGGACAAAAGTACTACGAGTGTTTCAGGGGCCATGTGCCAGGGAGCAAGCTGTGGGCCTTATATATGATAAGCATGTGTCCAACCACTTGATCTACCTCCCAGCTGTTTACTTTATCTGTTCTAAACTTTAAAATTAATAAGATTGGAGAAAATTTGCTCGAGCGGGCCCAGTAATGTCTCCATTGGAGACTTTGTTGTTACTGTGTCTGGCATATCGAATACGTCACGGGGAGCTTGCCAGGCTCTGCCGTGCGGGCGAGATACTCTCGGCAGCTTGCCGGGCTCTCCGAGAGGGGCGGAGGAATTGAACTCGGGTCGGCCTTGTTGGCTGCGTGCAAGGCAAACGCCTTAACCGCTGTGCTATAGCACGGTTGCACGGTCCTCCTGTTGTTCATCAATTTGCTCGAGCGGGCACCAGTAACATCTCCTTTGTGAGCCTTGTTACTGTTTTTGGCATATTGAATAGGCCATGGGGAGGTTTCCAGGCTCTGCCATGCAGGCGGGATACTCTTGGTAGCTTGCTGGGCTCTCCGAGAGGGACGGAGGAATCAAACCTGGGTCGACTGTATGCAAGGCAAATACCCTACCCACTGTTCTATCGCTCCAGCCCCAAATATTCCAATAAATAAATAAATAAACTTGCTCTTCCTAGTAGGAGAACTGAAAGGGGGAGTGGGCTTCAGCTGCAGATGGAAGTGAGTGTGTGGAAGCAAGACATTCAGTCGATTAGCGTCCCCACAACACAAACAACAACAACAAAACCGCTAAAGGGAAAAACGGTCACATCAATAAGCAACACAGGGGCCCCGGAATCCCATAGGTGATTCCAGCGTGCAGAGCCAGGAGTCAGCCCTGAGTATAGGCAGGCGGGACCCAAAAAGCAAAATAAATAAGTCAGTAAATAAATAAATAAATAAATAAGCAATCAATGCCAGCAACACCCTACCAGGCCGATGAAGAACATTCTACAGGGCAGAGGTAAGACCAGATGGTGTGGGGGTGAGTGGAGTGACCCATCAGAGCTCCAGGCGGGCGGGGGTGGTGGGGTGGGGGACACAGTTAGCCTCCAGGGCCCAAGTCCACGGTGATTCACTAATAAAAAATTTAAAAGATAAATAAAAGTAAACTTAACACTGGTACCACAGCTTTAACCTGGTGATCGATAGATACCGCCCATATTAGAACTACACAAGGTATTCTATGCCTCCTGATTCAATGTGATAATACATGAACTGAACCCAATCAAAAGAAAAAGCCACGTAGACGCATTCTACAAAATAACTAATGACTGGTCAGTCTATGATAGTTTCTATCTAAACCCACACGAAGATGTTCTGGTCTGTTCTCTGGTCATGCTCTCTTTTTCTCCATCTCCTTTCCACTTTCTTTCTTCTCCCAGCTTAGTATTAAATGGAAGTGAGGGATGACAACAAAATGGGCATGACAACAAAAATCAATCATATGCAAATAAGTCATAATTATGAAAAGGTACAAATTCAGTAAATTCTCAGTCTTAAAGGTAAAACAAAAACTACACATAACTTTGGGAGTAATCTCAACAAGAACTTCTAGACACTATCAGTTTGGTTTAATACTACCATTTGTTAAATTTGAAATTATTTTATTTTTTTCCCTCTCTTACCATGAACAATATTGAGGCTTATGAGCGCACTGTCTATACATAACAACCTTAATACGGCTTTTCTACTGAATTTCAAAGTAATGCAAGTATTGCTAAAGGAAGCAAACATAACTAGTTCTTCAAAACAAGTGAGAAATGACCTGTTCATAAGCTACATGAAATGTGGTATTTCGTTGAGAAATAAAAAGGGTGAAACCAGCAATTCTGCATATGCATTTTCCCCTCAATGTCTATGTATCTAACATCTATAAAGTTATTAAATAATACTTGCTAATCCAAGCACAAATCCCTGAATCTCCTTAATTTTTCCATAAGGAGGTATACTTATCCTTGAATTGCTACTTATGAATTTAATTACTCTTTTAAAGTATAGTGGTTAGCATAGCTATAGAATATGTGTTTTAAAATATATTTCTGACTCCTTTTGGTAATGAAAAGGTAGTGTTTATATGGTTCTTATATAGGTAGGTAGCGAGGGATAAATTCCCCATTACCCAAGGACACAGGAAAAAATAAGTAAATTGTCAAAGAACAGTTTAGATCAGAATAGAGTAAGAACTTCATTGGCCATCATTATTATAAATTTGTTTTATTTTGTTTTTGCTGTGCTGAGAATGGACCCTAGGCTCTCAAACATGCAAGGCAAGTGCTCTCCTGCTGAACTACATCATTATTATAAATTAATCTTAGGGGAAGTATTATTTCCTCTGAAGGTCTTAAGATTTTTATGAAATTCATTCGAAATAGCTGTGCATGAATTTGCATGTGAATTTATCTTTTTCTAACAAATTGCTGTGTGCATACATATATAATGCATGCAATCATTTAAATAAATTACTTTAAAATAGCATTCAAATACAGATGTCAAAAATGGAAAACGGTGACAAAAATCTGGGCTCTAACTCTCAGTATGAAGAAATGTTTTGTTATGGTTGTTTTCTAGATGAGAACAAGTGAATTTAGTTAAATCAGATTAGCAATTCTTATTAGACCTTAGTTTCTGCGTTCCTAATGGTGGTCATGTCTTTATGACTGGACTTCCCTAAGACTGGTAACAGATCCAACTTCTTTGTCACACCTTGTTTTTAATAGTTTCATAGAAATAAATTGCTGGGGGCCCTCTATGTACCTGCTTCATGGTCAAAACAGAACATATTTCTTGAGAAAAAGGATGACCTCTGTAAAATGAAGAAAAATTATTACATGCCTAGAGTAAGGAGTGTAGGTGGTTCTAAAATAGAGTATTTAAAGTAAAGGAATTATGTACTCCAATTTGATCCCAGCCCCAGAATAGTTGTACAATAAAGTTGTTATAGGGGTCCTGGTAATGTGTATTGGAAAGTCTTGGTCTGGAACCCAAACCAGCCCAAAGGCTTGAAGTCCTCTGAAATATAGAACCCATCTGAGGAACCAGGAAATTTTTCTGAAAGTCAGGATTCTATTGGAGAATCCCCTGGGAAGAGATTCCACTGCAGGAAGCAAGGCCAGACTGAAAATATCAAAGCCATCATCACCTTTTAAGCTCTAACCCTGGACTCACTCACTTTGAGTGAAGTTGGGGGATATGTCTAAAAATAACTTGACAGAGAAAGATGTGCATTTCTCCAAGGTGGGGTCTCTTTTATCTCTGTCTGAGATGTGTAACTTTTTTCTTTTACTTTGTGGTGTGCATTCTCCACTCTGGAGAAGCCAGTGTTCTCTCTCAAGCCCATAACTCTCTTTTTGTCCCCTCATATGTTCCAAATAAACTTATATTACTTGACTATTTATTTCCTTCCTGAAATTCCTTTATGCAAGGGTAAGCAACAGATTGTAGAAGGAAATATCTGGGCAGGCAGACGTTGGACTAACTTCCTTTTCCTGAAAAGAGCAAAATCCATGCTCTAGTCTGAGGCCATGGCTCCCCAAGAAACCCTTCAGCATTGCAGATTAATTTCTGCTCCATGAAGATCAAGTGGAATTTAGTGTTGAGCTTGTGAGATGCAAAGTCTGTCTTCCAGGAGCTACTAGTAGCCTTTATCAGTTCAGTCCTAACACTCCCAAGGCACATCCATGATGACCTTGGGAAAGAAAAAAAAAGTGGTTAGATTCCTCTCTCAAGGCTACTACCTTTATTCCCATTTCATGTATATCACCTACAACAATCAGGAGAAAAATTTGCACAACCAGCCTAGAATAATATGAGCAATCCTAGAATAGAATACACAAGACTTACTTTTGTAAAGCTGATTTTTGTGTGTGTGTCTTTTTGGTCACACTCAGCCATGCTTAAGGATTACTCCTGGCTCTTCCCTCAGGAATTACTCCTGACAGTGGTCAGGGGACGTTATGGAATGTCATGGATCAAACCTGCTTAGCCTCTTGCGAAGCTAACGCCCTGCTACCTGTACTATTGCTCTGGCCCCACAGAACTTTTTTTTTAATTGAATCACCTGTGAGCTATACTTACAAAGCTTTCATGTTTGAGTTTCAGTCATACAATGATTGAACACCCATCCCTCCACCAGTGTACATTTTCCACCACCAGTGTCTCCAGTATCACTCCCTGCTAGAGGAATCTTAGGTGTTGGGAATAATATTGTTTGAATATTGTTTGGTTTGCGGAAAGTAGGAACAGATTCATTCAATGTTCTTTACTGGAAGAGCAAAATATAATGTGTAAGTGACAGGTTCTTGTGACCATTGAGTTCATCTAGTCTACCTCTATCTATCCCAGTGTTTCACAAGTGAGACTTGGACTAATCCAAGGGGGTGGCTTTAGTAGTCTTGGATACAGTTAGGGTAGAGGAGTGCTTTGTTTGCTTAAAGAAGGTAGATAACACTTTTTTTTTTAAGAAAGCGCAGGTGGGCCAGTTAAGTTTGGGAATCTTTGCAATGATATTAATCTTTAATTTCTGTAATACATTCTGTATCATTTATAAATAGAATTTTGCCTTTTGTTTTGTTTTGTTTTTCTTTAGTATCAGAAACAATTTCTTTTCCTTGAAGATCTTCCTTTTGAATAAATGTATATGGTGGTATCCAGATTTTTCTGGATCCTGAATTTCATCATGTTATTGCAGAACTTGCAAATAGAAACATTTTTCAACCAGAAAGTTCCCCCACGAGAAGGTAGTTTCACTTTTTGAGAAGACATGCTAGATCCTCCTTTTAGCACCTCTGAAGTAAAGGAGGATACTCATGCTACCTGGCATGAGCTGCAACCCAGCGATGCAGGTGAGTGAATGCCTGCCCTGATCTGAAGAGCTATTCCATTCTTCCTTCCTTGCATCCTTCCTTTCTTTACCTCCCTTCTTTTTGTTTGTTTGTTTTTTGGCGCATCATCTGACTGTGCTCAGGGCTTGTTCCTGACTTTGTGTTTAGGGATCACTCCTGGAGGGGATCAGGGAACCATAGGGAGTGCCAGAATTTGAACCCATGCCAGTGGCATGCAAGGCAAGTACTCTACCTGAGCCCAACACAGTTCTTTAAGCTCTATATTCTAATGACGCTACTCTTTTCTAGGATTTTATTTTAGAAATACCAATTACTGATTCTCTTGTTTGTTTCCTTTGATTTCCCAATGGCTATATGTAGGATGACATTGCTGTGTCCTTTCACCCTTGCCACAGGGAACTCAGGTTTATTACAGTGCTCCTGAGGCACTTCCATTGCATTCTGTTTATCTGTAAATTCTTCCCTATGGTTTCCTCCCCAACCAGCTAATCAGCTTTTTCCCCAGTCAGACTCTATTAACTTGTAAGGTCAGATTCCTCAGAAATCTATGATTTTATATGTATAAGTGAAATACTGTCTTTCTCCTCTCTTATGTCTTATGAATAGGTTTTTTAAAAATTTTTATCAGTGAAACACCATGAGATATAGTTGTAGACTTACAAATTTTTGTGCTGGGTTTCAGTTATACAATGATCGAGTACCTATCCCTCCACCAGTGCCCATTCTCCACCACCACTGATCCCAGTATCACTGCCACCCCCTACCCCCCCCCATCCCTCCAAGCCTCTGTGGCAGGGCATTCCTTTTGTTCTCTCTCTCATTTGGGGTGCTGTGGTCTGCAAAAGAGGCATTGAGTGGCAATCATGTTTGGTCTATAGTTACTTTCAGCATGCATCTTCCATCCTGGGAGTATCCTCCCAACACCCTTTATTTGGTGCTCCCTTCACTATCTGAGCTGCCTTTTCCCGTAGCATGTGCGACTGGCCTCCAAGCCATGGGGTAAACCTCCTGGTATTTCTTATCTTGGCCATTCTTGGATGTTATTCTCCTATTTTGTTACTTTATGTTCATGAATGCAATCTTTCTATGTCTGTCCATTTCTTTCTGACTCATTTCACTTAGCATGATACTTTCCATGTAGTATCACTTGTATGTAAATTTCATGACTTCATCTTTTCTAACCACTGCATAGTACTACATTGTATAGATGTACCATAGTTTCTTCAACCAGTCATCTGTTCTCGGGCACTCAGGTTTTTTCCAGATTCTAGCTATTGTTAATAGTGCTTCAATGAACAAACAAGTGCAGATGTCACTTCAACTATACATTTTTTTCTTCTCTGGGATATATTCCCAGGAGTGAGTGGTATTTCTGGTCAAATGGGAGCTCAATTTCTAATTTTTTGAGAATTGTCCATAATGTTTTCCAAAAGGGCTGAACCAGTTGGCATTCCCACCAGCTATGAAGTAGGGTCCCTTTCTCACCACATCCACGCCAGCACTGGTTGCTTTTGTTCTTTTGGATGTGGGCCAGTCTCTGGTGTGAAATGATATCTCATTTTTTTTTGATATCTCATTGTTTCGATCTGCACCTTCCTGATGATTAATGATGTGGAGCATTTTCTCATGTGGCTTTTAGCCATTCGGATTTCTTCTTTGAGAAAGTTTCTGTTCATTTCGTCACCCCATTTTTTGATGGGGTTGGACAATTTCTTCTTGTAGGGTTCAACCAGTACTTTGTATATCCTTGATATCAACCCCTTGTCGGATATGTATTGGGCAAATATCCTTTCCCATTCTGTAGACTGTCTCTGTATTTTGGTCACTGTTTCTTTTGAGGACAGAAGCTTCTTAGTTTAAGATAGTCCCATTTGTCTTTCTCTGTTTTCACTTGCGTGGCCAATGGTGTGACATCTTCGAAGATCCATTAGCTTCAGTGTCATGGAGGGTCTTGCCTACTTTGTCTTCAACGTACCTTGTGGATTCTGGTCTGATGTTGAGGTCTTTAATTCATTTTGATCTTACTTTTGTACATGGTGTTAAGCAGAGATCTGAGCCCGGTTTTTTGCACGTAGCTATCCAGTTTAGCCAGCACAACTTGTTAAGAGGCTTTTCTTTCTCCACTTCATATTTTTTGCTCCCTTATCAAATATTAAATGATCATATGTTTGGGAGGAGGTGTCAGTATATTCAACCCTGTTCCATTGGTCTGCAACTCTGCCTTTCTTCCAGTACCATGTTGTTTTAATTATTACTGCTTTGTAGTAGAGCTTGAAGTTAGAAAGGTTGATTCCTCCCATTTTCTTTTTCCCAAGAATTGCTTTAGCTATTCGTGGGGGCTTATTTTTCCATATGAGTTTCAGGAGTGTTTGCTCCATTTCTTTGAAGAATGTCATGGCTATCGTTATAGGGATCGCATGGAATTTGTACAATGCTTTGGGAAGTATTGTCATTTTGACTATGTTAATTCTCCCTATCCATGAGCAGGGGATATCTTTCCATTTTCTCCTGTCTTCTTTTATTTCCTGAAGTAGGGTTTTGTAGTTTTCTTTGTACAGGTCCTCTAAGTATAGTATCATATCATCTGCGAATAGTGAGAGCTTGATTTCCTTTCCAACCTGGATGCCCTTAATATCTTTTTCTTGCCTAATTAGTATTGCAGGTACTTCCAGTACTATATTGAACAGCAGTGGAGAGAGTGGGCATCCTTGTCTCATCTCTGATCTTAAGGGGAAGCTCTCAGTTTTTCTTTATTGAGGATTATGCTTGCTGCAGGCTTGTGGTAAATGGCTTTAACTATATTGAGGAAAGTCCCCTCTATCATTTTCGCGAGGGTTTTCATCATAAACAGGTGCAGGATCTTGTCAAATGCTTTCTCTGCATCTATTGATAATGATCATTGATGAGATGTTGGACTCTATTTGTTACTATTTTGTTGAGGGTCTTCACATCCGTGTTCATCATGGATATCAGCCTATATTTTTCTTTTTTTGTGGTGTCTTTGTTTGCTTTTGGTATTAGGGATATATGCCTCATAGAAACTGCTTGGGGGAGTTTCTGTTTCTTCAATTTCCTGGAAAAGCTTGAGAAGAACTGCAAGAGATCCTCTTTAAATGTTTGGAAAAATTTGCTAGTGAATCCATCTGGACCTGGGCTTTTGTTTTTGGGAAGACTTTTGATTACAGTTTCAATTTCCTTGATGTTAATAGGTCTATTCAGGTATTCCAGATCTTCTTGATTAAGCCTTGGGAGATTATAGGAATCCAGGAATTTATCCAGTTCTTCTAGGTTCTCGTGTTTCATGGCATACTGACTTTCAAAGTAGTCTCTGATGATGTTTTGAATTTCTGTGATTTCTGTTGTGATATCCCCTTCTCATTTCTGACTCGTTTTGTTAGGGTTCTCTCTCTCTCTCTTTTTCTGTGAGTGTTGCTAATGGTTTATCCATCTTGTTTATTTTCTCGAAGAACCAGCCCTTGGTTTCATTGATCTTTCAGATTGTTTTTTGGGTTTCCAGGTAGTTGATTTCTGCTCTAAGTTTTATGAGCTCTTTTTTTTCTCCCTGATTTGGACTCTTTTTGTTGATCTTTTTCTAAGATCTTGAGCTGTGAAGTCAAGTTGTTTTTGTGGGCCCTTTCTTCCTTCCTGAGAAATGCTTTCAGAGCTATAAATTTTCCCCTTAATACGGCTTTAGCTGGTTCTTGGCATATTGAGTACGACATGGGAAGTTTGCCAGACTCTGCCGTGCAGGCAGGATACTTTTGGTAGCCTGCCAGGTTCTCCAAAGGAAAAATAAGATAATAAGATGTCACTTCCGGGAGCTGAGTTTTATAGTCTCTGCATCTTGGCCGTTGATGGAACCAACCTTGTGCTGGTGGCAGCTGGTGGGTGTGACGCCTACCTACTGGAAGATGGGGGTCTGGGTGGAGAAGGCTCAGTCCCAATCCGAGTAGGCTTGGAGACCTTAGCCCCGGGACCTGCATGCCTGGGTTCCTCTGCCAGTTCTTTCATGCATGAGGCCCGTCCAGACATGTGGAGAGTGGTCCCAGCGTGGCCGTGGCTGCCTCCGGAGGTCCTCAGCTCTGGGACTCTGCTCAGGGCGGGGTGTGGGAGAGAAACTCAACCCTCCCCCCTCCAAGGGGCCCCGGTGAGGACAGCCAGGCACGGGAGCAGGAAACTCTGCGCTGTTCTCCTGGGTCTGAGAATGATGGGTCTCATTCTCCTAATCCTGAAAGGGCATTGAAATGGCTCTTTTAAAACCTCAGGGCTAGGAAGAAGGAGACATTATTGGTGCCTGCTCGAGGAAATCGACAAACAACAGGATGATCATGATCGTGATTGTGAGGGCTTTAGCTGCATCCCATAGGTTCTGGTAGCTTATGTCTTCATTCTCATTTGCTTCCAAGTATCTTTTGATTTTGTCCTTGACTTCCTTCCTAACACACTCATTGTTCAACATTGTGTTGTTTAATTTCCAGGTTTTTGATTTGGTTCTCCATGTCTGTGTGTGATTCACTTATCTTCTCAGTGCATCATTGTCTGAAAAGATTGTTGATACTATTTTTATCTTCCTTATTCTATTGAGGTATGTTTTATGTCCTAGCACATGGTCTATTTTGGAAAATGTTCCGTGTGCACTGAAGAAGAATGTGTATTCTTTCTTTTTGGGTGTAAAGCCCTGTATAGGTCTATAAGCCCTCTCTCTTCTATTTCTTCCTTCAAAGCCAATGTTTCCTAGCTAAGTTTTATTCTTGTTGATCTATCCAGAACTGATAAGGCAATGTTGAAGTCTCCAGCTACTATTGTGTTGCTAGCAATGTCCTCCTTAAAATCTGTTAGCAGTTGTTTTAAATATTTAGCTGTTCCCTCATTAGGTGCATATTTAAGAATGTGATTTCTTCCTGTTGTACGTATCCCTCGATGAAGAGAAAATAGCCTTTGCTGTCCCTTCTAATCTTTTTCAACCTGAAATTGAGGTTGTCGGATACTGTATGGCCACC